AGGCCTCGGGCTGTACCTGCACAGGAGGGAGCCGGACAGACCTCCTCTCTCCTTTTGCAAGCCGCGCTGGGGGCATGTGAAAGCAGATTCAAACGCCAGATGTTCCTACCTTGCTCCTGGCGGCATTACACAGAACTGAACTGACTAAAAAGCTGAAGGAACAAGAGCAGTTTTTTGATCAGATTAAATTTTCCAGAAGGACTTTGAATTGGGGAAGTCTCTTTTCCCCTCCTCCACAAGAGTAAAATTTGTCCTAGTCAAAAAACTCCTCTTCATATTATCACCGGAATAGAAGGAAAAGAAACAGAATTACCCAGTCCCATGAAAACAGACCAGGGAATTAGGGGGTCACAAGAGCATTAAGCAGCATTCTCTGCGCTAATAAGCTCTCTCTCTAAGCTAATAAGGCAAGAGACAGCAAGTGCCACTGGATATTTTATTCTTGGACCACTGAAAAACCCATATCTCTGTGCTTTTAGCACAACGTAAAAAGCAGACGGTATCCTCTTTTCTTGCAGGAGTGCTTTGACAAAACTGTGTGAGGAATGTCTGGATATTACAATCACCAGTCAGCTTAGAAGTGTTAACTAATAAAGTTCAATAGGCAACATGTGTAATGAATTTTTCTCTCAGATTCTTATTTTCAGAATACACAGAGCAAGCTTCCCTTGTTACTGCAGTAGGGTGATTCTCTTTCCAAGGTAAGCCTTCTACACCCAGCACAGAGGAAGGGCTTTGGCTTCCATGTATTAAACTCAAAGCATGGAAACAGGATCCTGCCAGCCTGAACTTTCAACATTTGAATTTACATCCGTGAACACTGATGAAACCATTTTGGACAACTCTGGATTTCTGCTTCAACTTGATACTTGGCTGCCAGGGTCACTTTATTGACATACCAGATATTCAAAAGTCCCATAAACAAACTACACAAGATCAGAATGTTCTAGCCATGATTAAAAGTTAAACCCATAGTGAGCCCGAGGAAGCCAAAATCCACAATACTTTCTCTTTTTAAAATTGAAAGTAAATGTAGCTTCTACAAATAAGAAGCCTGACTTTAACTAGACATTATATTTTAAACCAAATAATTTATATTATTGTTTCAGTTAATATTGAAAAGCTTAAGAATAATATTAAAAACATAGCAGTTGTTACAGAAACATGCAGAAAATATTGTACATTTTTCCCCGTGCTTCCTGTTTACCAATCAATTGTGCTTAGTGTTTATTCCTTAGTTCCTTCCCTCACATATATATGTATTTAAAATATATACGAAATTGCATACAGCTTCATTCACAACCTAGATATATGGAGCCATGTGCAATTTTTTAAGGTAATCATGTTTATAGCCAGTCAGCCCATGTCATTCATGTAAATTTTAACAACACGTTAACAAAACAAATAGTTTTGGAATTCAGATTTTTCATTGCCTTATATCTCTGGGTCAGGATCTATGCTTTTTTCCAGAGTATGAGACTTTATGAGAACAGTTTCCCCATTCATAAATCAAAAATACAATGTGCTATCATAATAAAAACATCAACACACACTCTTGTAGAGACAGTCCTTTTCAGAGAAACTTAGCCTTGTATTTTAGCATGAACTGTATTGATATTTGAGAATCAAGGAAGAGAATACCAAAGCCTAGCACCTAGCATACAGATTTGACAATATTTATCCAATATTAGTATATCTTTTTGAGGAGGAATATATTTGCTCTATCTAGAGTGGTAAAACCCACTCCTTTTGCTTGTGTGCCAGAAGTGAAGCATATTCACAAACATCCACCTGTGTATTTATAAGAATACTTCTTCCACGTACACCCCCATCCATGCCTACCCAGGGCAATGGTCTTGCATAATACCTTCTGTACACAGAAGGAAAAAAAAGATACAGTAATGATACTTCCAAGATGATTTTAGGAGTGATCTATATGATTAATGAAACAGTTCTGGCCTCTATTTCTCCCACGAGGACCTCTTTTGCACTAGTTGATGTACTCATTTTCTAACTGATTGTAAAAGTACACATGATTCTCTATGCTCGCTACATGATACAAGCTTTAGTCTTAAACATTAGAGCAAGCTCCTCTTCATCACTTTTGCTTCATGAAGACAGTGTCTAGAATTGTTATGTGCTTAAACAAAAAAAAACCCAACCCTCCCAAACTCCACAAAGTGGCCAGTCCTGCTGCTTCCAAAGGTAGCATGCTGCCCTGCGATTTGGTGCTTTTCCAGATTCTAACAACCTAACTTACCCAGGATCTGGAAAATGGACAGTGCAGTTGGAGAAGCTAGCTGTGCATGTACAGTGACTCTTTACTACACATGCAGGACATTTCATGTGCTCATACACCACGTATCTACAGTGCAGTTGTCTTGCACTGCCCGCTTTGGACCTTGTGGTGGGTTGACATTGGCTGCACACGAGATGCCCACCAAGCTGCTCTATCACTCCCCTCCTCAGCAGGACAGGCGGATGAGAAAACAAGATGGAAAAAGCCCCTCATGGCAGTTTAATAAAGCAAAAGCAAAAGCCGCACATGGAACAAAGGAAAACAAAAGCTTTATTCTCTACTTCCCATTAGCAGGCAATATCCAGCCATTTCCCAGGAAGTAGGGCTTCAGGACATGGAGTGACTCCTTCAGAACACAAATGTCTTAATAACGAGTGCCCCTTCTCCTCCTTTCTCTTAGCTTTTATTGCTGAGCAGATATCATACGGTATATGAAATATCCCTTGGGTCAGTTTGAGTCAGCTGCACTGATTGTGTCCTCTCCCAAGATCTTGCCCACCCCCCAGACTGCTAGGGAGGGGAAAATGTTGGAGAGTGCACCATGATGCTGTGCAAGCACTGCTCAGCAGTAGCCAGAACACTGCTGTGTTACCAGCACCTTTCTAGCTACCAACACAAAGCATAGCACTATGAGGGCTGCTATGGCGAAAATTAGGTCCATCTCAGCCAGACCCAATACAGATCTGTAAGTGTTGTCAGGCTTGGGATATATTCTTTTCAACAATTCAGACTGTTTTTCTATAGCTATTACAGTTATAAAACATTTTGCTAATAATATTAGAGAGCAGAAAGAACTTACTGAAGTACTTTGCAAAACAGAACATACTAGTTGCAAACTGTACTTGAAAGTATGTTCTCTAATCTATTACCAGTAAAAAAATGATTCAAACATTCAAATCTTCAAATTTTCTGTTATTTCTGCTTCCTTCTGTTTAAACCACACTTAGTTCAGGATCCGTTTGGCCGATTTAATAGTAGTAGCTCCGTTCTCTCTAGATAGCCTATCAATGCTAGTAGGAAATCTAATTGTGAATTATTAACTTCCAAATACTTTGCAGGATGAGAATAAAGGTAGTATTTAATTCATTGCACTCAGAATTTGTTACTTAGTATTTTGTCCTCTGAAATATTAAATGTTAAATTGCTATTCTTTCATGTTTTTGGAGTTATCTTTAAATAAACCCACGTGAAGTATGTTTTACTCTAGCATTTCACTACTTAAGGTAAAGTGAATCAGTAAGATCAATATAGAAAGAGATGATATAGCAGTAAAAATGCACCAAATTTGTTTTGAAAGACATCATATGAGTGAACTAAATCTTTGCAAGCTATCTTAACTGAGAAAGATGATTCTCACTTTTAGCTTTTCATAGGATGAATTTCCATTTGCAGGTAGGGTCAATCACAAGCTCCATCCTCCATCGATGATTAGTTCATTACCAGTCATGTAGGCAGACTGAAATTACATTAATAGTAACAATAATTTTAACTAATTTTTCATGGCTGTTAAGCACAAGGAAACACTTTTTTTTGAATTAGAAAAACTGCTTTCTTTTTATACAAGCACTTTTTTTTGTTTAAAGAAATAGCTGAACAAATAATATGTAAACAAATTTAGAAATGGAAGCCTTTCAGCTAACTTGGGGGAGTGTAGTATTATTAGAGGCATAAAGATGAGAATGCACCTCGAGTGTACAAATTCACATAAGCTAGACTTCAGATATCCTCACCTGCAGGAATAATACCTCACACTGTGATGTTATTAGGTCTGTTCAGCTGAGCAGGTCAGCCAATAATCTTATGGGGACTTAACTGAAAATTTAGATGGTGCAGAAAAGTGAGGTAAGCAACCGAGCTGTTGACATTCTCTGTATGCCAGTACTGAAGCGTACTGGAATATATTGGAAAACTGGAATCCTGTCTACATGTGATGAGACCGGAAAAAATCAGCAGCTTTACAGAAACACTAAAACTAAGATGAAAATGAGAAAGATTACTGACAGATAGCAATGTTAAGATTGAATTAATTCCATTAAAGTATTCTGTTACGCTCAGTAAGACCACTGGACAAGTCCAGAGGAATCCAGTCCAATTTTTGATTCATAGTAAGTTTATGGCATCTGAAATAACCTTGATGTGTGCTCATTAGCATTGGTAGTATTTGCAGTGGTCATTAAGAGTTTGGGGTCTATAACCTCAGGGGATCTGTTTCCCTTATGCCAAAAGGCTAGATTCACTCTGAGCATTAGCCCTTTTAGCTAATATTTCCAGCAGTTCTACACAAATATTTGCTCTTGAGTAGTGAAGGTAGGTGATGACATTCTACCTCCTTAAAACATGATCTAGCCATGGTGCAAACTTGGAAAAGCAGACAAGCCCACTTCTCCTGTCATTCAGGATGATCTGGGGTCAGTCAGTTTGCTCAGATGACATGAAACCACCAGGCTGTGGTATCAAATATATAACGCCTTAACAATCACTGTCAACGTTCAGAGTAATTTTTGTATTGTAGGTTGAACTCAGTAAATGATCGTTAGTTTTTATTTTTGTAATAATCCAGCTCAAAGACAATATAAATCCTCCTTAAACAAATTCACTCTAGTGTCACGCAGCAAAGGAGCACAGGATTCCGTGACAGGAAATTTTACCATTCCATACTTACTTCATCAGAGGCCAAGTACACAAAGAGATGGGCCACTTCTTCAGCAGTAGCCATCCTACCAGTCTTCTGTCTGGCTAGAAAGTCTTTCAATGCCTAGATAAACAAGACCATTTGGTATATAACAAAAATAAAGCAATTATTTTAATCTAATTAGTCTGACGTAAAAAATAATACTGGAAATAGGCCATAAGCCACAACTTCCTTTAGTACACTGGGTTATGTTATCATTGGTAATCTGAAATAAGGGACATTCTTGAGTCTGGGCAGAAATGCTGCCTTTTTTTTCTCTTTTTTTTTTTTTTTTTTTTTTTTTTTTCTCTCCAGAGGGAGCTGAATATGTGTACACACATGACCAAACTAATAAATTGCTTTCTTACTTGTTCTGGGTTAGGCCAGGCTTTGATTCTTTGCTGTAAGGATGGTGTGTCAACAGTTCCTAAGCAAAGTTTAAAACTCAATGTTAAAAATCAACTGCATCTATTATCACGACAAAAAAATGCATTCATTGGTTCTATTTGTATGTCTTAACACTTATGTGTAACTTCATAGTATGATTCACGAGAAAGACTGCAAAACTATAAACATAGCATAGGACCAAATTTCAATAAGAAGCAAAATGTTTGAGAATTCAATGCAATACTTTTCAGATGGTCAGACAATGGCTATCCTGTCAGCTAGCCCTTGCTTGCTTCTAACTTCCAGACTACATCTTTGAAAATCAACATCAAAATATTATGTAATGCATACATTGCGTGCATGTGCTGGGTTAACAGACTAAACATACAGCTCTACAACAAAAGTAACAACTTTTAAATCTCAAATCTCAGAAGTGTTTCAAGCATGTCCTGTTCTTTTTGATTGCTAGGAACTTTAGTTGCCACTTGCAAGTCTATTCTTTGTTAATCATGTCAAACTAAATCAGGCCACTTGGCATCCCCTCCAAGTTTACAAAATGATGTAAGAAAACTTACCAGGACATATGCAGTTGCACCTGATGCCTTGTTCTATGAAATCAGCAGCCACAGACTTTGTTAGACCAATAACCGCTGCCTTTGAAGTACTATATACGCATCTGTTCACAACTCCTAAAAGAAGGTAAATGTGAAAGCAGCATAGAAACATAAAAAAGCACCAAGTTTGTTCAATATGCAGCTGCTTCTGGACTCCACCATTTCCTCCACAGTCTCTCCATAAGGGCGGGCTAACTAGAATGCTGACTGCCAGGATTCTACTCAGGCATACGCTAGGGTAAAGCGCACAATCTTTCCATAGTCTAAGTTTGGACAATAGTCTAGAAAAGTTAACAAAGCAAAGATTCAGGAGCAGCAGAGACCCATCTGTTAGTCACCACCAGGTTTCCTTGGGAAGCATAGCTACAGTGCTTATGCAATTGTCATTTCTTCATTGTTTCTCTGAAGAACATATGTAGCAACATATCACTGCAAGTAGTTCCTTTTTTTGTTAATACAAACTAGTAAAAGGGATGCTACAAAACATTCAGGACACAGATTCAAAAGCTCAAAAGGCAAGAATCTTAAATGTTTCTACAATTTTTCATCCGTGTCCTTGCACGTGTGTGCAAGTTGATGTGTTCCCTTTTTTTTAGCTGCATCCCTCCACAGGATTGGCAGTGTCCTCTAAATTTAAACTTGTGCAATATTCATGTTGTATTCCATCATCTTATAGATTTACATAAGGAACTCTCTAGCAAGCTACTGACCTTTAATGCTGGATGCCACAGAAGACATATTTATAATATTTCCAGATTTCTGTTTAAGCATCTGCAAAAGAATACTTATGTCATTCAAATGCAAACTATGTTGTCAGCTGCAGGTCCAGCAGAATAGCCCATAACAACCTGCAGGACAGCCCTACATGCAATTGATACACAGGGTAACAAAGCTTAATTGGCATGAATAGGTGCTTATCTCTTTTTGATCTATTGACTGAAGTAGTAAAGCAGAATCTGAAATTCTCACTAGGTTCTCTTAAGTCATCTCAGAGGTGAAGACTATGAGAGGAAAGGATTTTCTGCTTAGACACGTTTGAAGCATTGCCCTCTTGTCACCAAAGTTACCCTATGTAGACGTCTACTCATGCCATCTACCAATGCAGCAATTCACTGATCCCATTCACACCCTTCTTGCTTTGGAGAAGACTAAAACACAACTCTAGCGTCTTTGAATTGTAGTTACATTTCTTTAAGTTATAACCTTTTTATGCATCCCAAGATCAGAGATGCCCAAAGTTGCTACAGATAACCTTTGAAAAATGAAGATCAGCTAAGAAAAAAAACCCCAAACCAAAAAAACCCCCAAAAAACAAACAAAAAGGACTGGAACAACACTGAAAAAAGCAGCCATCATTCAGTCACAGTCACAGCTTCCATTTCTGGCCTTTGCATTCACAGGAATACAAACACCTTATTCAACCCACAGATATTTGTAGTCCTGAACCTAGTTATGTCAAACACAACAGATGTCCTCAAGCTGCTAGACTGTCTAACTGGATTGTTGTTCTGATATAACCAGCTTGTTGGCATCAGTGGCACTGAATTGCTTCACAAGATAGTTTCCAGATTTGCATAAAATTCATACAAATATACATATTTTATAAATACTTTGTAGGTGTGGTATTGTGCAGCTGTGTGCTATAGTATAACACGATAGTACTGTATTATAAGGGTTCCCTCACTGCTCTGCATATGAAGGATTTTAGTTATCTGCCATATTCTTTATGGAGATTTTCTACTTGAAGGATTACACAATACAGAGAAAGTTTTAGAGTAGGATTGCTATAATCTAAATCACTCAAAGCAGCACACTTGCCTTTTTACCTCAAACCCCATGCTGTCACAGTGGCAACAACTTAGACCTCTCACACTTCAAACACAATGCAGCAGAGACCAAAAGTCATGGGCAACCAAGCCTTACCTTGGGAAGGAATGTCTTGATCATTAGATACATGCTGCGAACATTGAGGTTCATAGTGAAGTTCCAGTCTCGCTCTTCACACTCCAGAATTGTTCCATGATGAACAAACCTAGAACAAGTGCATGGAGTGGATCACTGCCTGTCTTTTCCATTTCTATAACTTTTTATGCATATTTTTCCCATTGCTATTTTGTAATAGCTAACCCTTCCAACCTTAAAAAGGAGGGACAAGAGCTCTTTTGAAGAAAGCAAGCAACAGTATATTTCTTCTGATGAGTATGAGGGACACAAGACAGATCAGATATGTGCAGAGATGTCTAGTAATAGGGAAATTAAAAAAGAGAGAGCACTGTCAGACCATCAGCTTTGCTCACTTGTGCCAGGAGGGCCAAAGCCATCAGTACAGGGCACCCAGAGAGTGTGGAAAACATAATGAATTCCAGAGCCATTCAGTCTTGGCCTGGGTAACACAGCTACGCACAAAAAGTTCAGAGTTGACAAAAACATAGGAAAATTTATATTAAAGATATAAAATGCTTCAAAACAAAAGAAATAAAATGCATTCAAGTAAAAGAAACTACTTCCAGAGGACAGGGAAAACTGTAAAAAGAAATAGGAACAAACAGAAGCTGGTTACCCTGCAATGTTACAGAGGACATCAACCCTTTCAATCTCCTTGGCCAGATTTTCTATCTGCTCCCTTTTGGTGACATCCAGAACCCGTATTTGAATGCCTAGAAAAACATGGTATTCATTTCAGTGTATTTGGGTAAGGATCAGCGGTTTATTTTTCTGAAGCGCTGAGGACTGAATCTACAATTCGTCAGTGCCCTGCCAGGAACAGTCCACTCTCAGTGGTTCACCACGACATGGAGACCGAGCAAGAGCTACACTCAATGATTAAGTCATTGCAATAGTTAAATCAAGACAGCAATGGAAAGCATGGCATGGTATTTAAGATTTCAGAAGGGAATGAAAAAATAGATCAGCTAATTTGATTGTCATACAGCATCACACATGCAAATGAGCTAATGTAGTTACCATAAAAACATTTCCAACAAATTTGAATTCCACTGTGCTCTTAAACTGGAGAACTACAGAGCCTGTATAATCATAACAAGCTTTCATGCCCACTATTATAGAATAACAACTACTTGAAACTAGTTACGTGTGTTAGCCACAACCACATTACATGCCATCTATCCATGCATAGTTGAGGATATGATGAACCAGCTTTATACCATTTAATTAATGAGAAAAAGTGATTTTGCATAAGCCAGTAGATTACATAACCTAGAACGATGTCATAGCCAAGACAATAGAAATGAAGATGCCGTGTAACAGATTGATGGCTTCTATCATAAAGGCTAGTTTAAAAACTTGATGCTCACGTTTTTGCAATTATTTGTTTATAATCACAGAAGAGGATTGGAAACATACTGCTTTTCACTATAAGCTTCTATGTATTTCAACCTCTGACAGCTCTCACTGTCAGCACTCACAGCACTGGCTGCGTCTGTGCTGTACCTTCAAGAAAGCCACTGATAAAGAAAAAAAAAAGGCAAAATCCCTTCTATTTTGTCCAGAGAAACTATCTCTGAAAGATCGAAAAACGTAATTACTGCAAAACAGGGTCAGGCTCAACTCTCCCGAACATTATGCGATAGAATCATCCTCTAGCAGAACTGCTTTAGGGCCACAGCCATGCCATCCCCTGGCCAGAAGCAAAAAGAACAAAGTAAAAGAACTGCTCTTCCAGATGAGCTGTAATATATGATATAATATAATCTACATGTTATTTTATCTCATTTTACTTAAGTAGCTTCCAGTAATCTAACACAACTAGCTTCGCTCACCCATGTCAAGGCTGAGTCCTTCCTATGGAATAGGGATACTTCATGGTACACTTTGCCTGCACCCTCACTCCATACTGTGTGTAGAGATTGAGCTGTGTCCCCTTCTCAAATACATAAACTTTTCACCCAAAGGAAACCTGGATGAGTGGAAAAGAAGGAATCAGGGTGTACTCCAGTAATTCACTTAGATACAATTAGGTTCCCAGGGCACTAAGCCTTGCTGCTGATCACCCTTTTGCCACAGCCTGGTCACAGCACACCCTGCATCTAGGATGAAGGGACATCCAATGCAGAACACACCTGTTCCTCAAAACTTTCTTTTTTTTTAAAACACAATTTAGTCACATGCAACTAGTGACACATAGACCAGTAAGTGTCTACAACTACCTGTTGAGAGACTGTAGAGAAGATGGAGCCAGACTCCTGAGAGGCCCACAGTGGAAGGATGAAAGGCAACAGAAAGAAGTTAGAACATGGGGAAAGTCTGACTGAACATAAGGTGTGTTTGGTTTTTGGTGGGGTTTTTGTGTTGTTTTTAAAATATCATTATTATTTTGAAACTACAAGAGTCATCACACTGGAACAGGGGCCTACAGAGGTTGAGGAAATTCCACCCTTGGCGATGTTCAGAACTTGACTCGCAGCCCTGAGCAATCTGCTCTAGCCAAACCCGCTTTGAGCAGTAGGCAGGACTAAATGGCCTCAAGAGGTTTCACCCAACATACAAGATTTTATGAAATACTGTAAAGCTGTCTGTAAAGCATCTGAGTGATCTCTGAATTATAGGAGAATTTGATTTAAAATGGATAAAAAACCTGTTTCTTTTGAAGCCAAACTGACAAATCCATGAACAGGCTTTACATGCCTTAATTAAATGATATAGACACTTTTGAAGAGATTTCTGTGTAACGATGTAATTAGACTACAGGCTGGTGATTAATATCAGCATTAGAATTACCTCTCCTGGATAAAATTCAAAGATCACAATGTGCCAAGCCTTGATGAATTATAGCTTAACTAATCACATGTCAAAAGGATGGAAATGGCTCTGAGTATATGGAAAATTACCTCTTTCCTTGTGAACACACTAGCAGAGGGAAAAAATGCACAGTTCAAAACATAACAGTTTCCTAAACACCCTCAGAACGAACCTGGAAAGTCCTGAAGTTCCTAAAGAATTACAAAGAGATTGCTTGTGGTGAACTCTAGTCAGTAGAGACCGAAGTTCACTCTAAAAGCTGTGCCAGAGAAAAATGTTTTTGCATATTTGACTGTCACCCTGTAATAGGAACTCATTAAATCGACTTCCTTCCATCAAATTAAGTTGGAAGCATTGTCAGTTGTGCAATATATCAAAGTCTTAGTTTTTATTTCAAGATTTTATTAAAAATCTATTTTTTTGAATGTCCCACACTTGTGTCACTAATGATTAAGAAATACAGCTATGTAAAACCTGGTCCTTGAAGTATGTTCCTGTGATGTCAGTAGGAAAGCAAGCATCAGGCCTGAGCATTTGTACAAACAGAACAGGCTTATCTAGTATTGGTGGAATTAGTTTCTGAAGACATGTGAATTCTACTAGACAGCTGTTCTTTCAATGCATTCCTTAGTAGGTATGGACTGTAAAAATACAAGTCACTATATCTACTTTCTGTACAGCTGGATGTTAGTTCTTGTGATCAGAGAAAAGCATCCCATGCCTTTTAGAGTGATATGTTTGACAATTTATCCTAGTGATCTCAAAAAGTAATTGAAATGGGTGCCATTCTGGGAAGCAGAAATCAACAAGAAACTCAAAGTTGTTCCACATGCCTGGAATAATACTCTGATATGCTGATGTTACAGTATTTTACATACTAAATCTCTGCCATTCCACACCACAGAATAAAGCAATGCCAACATCTAAAGAATTAGTCTGGATATTTACCATTTTTTCTGGCCTTTCGAAGTTTGCCCTATCCTCAAATTACATTTCAGCCAGTCTACAACAAAATTTGCAAGAGCTAAACTAATGCCTACTATAGGTCATTTACCTGGATACGTCACCAGTCCTTGCAGCTTAGACTCATTGATGTCTGTAGCAATAACTTTAGCTCCTTCTTTAGCAAAAGCCTGAATAATACAAGTAAGAGAAGCAGTTTATATTTAGATGTTCCAGACTGTACCAGAGAAAATCTGTTTTCCTCTCATTTCCTTTTTGGCTTGAAATAAAAGTTGGCTGAAGACAGTTGGATCTCTCACTTTTCATTCTGGACATGTCAGGAAGTAATGGGCATCAATTACTCCCGGAGACAGCTAAGTAAATATACATGACATAAGACAGGTTTAAAATCTTTTCCTTAAAGTAAGGAATCCATAAATAAAGCATGAGAACAGCAGCCACACTAAGACAACTGGTATTGTCGCCCTTATTAGCTTCATGTGTATTAGCAAGCATGTTACAAACATGTAGAACTAGAATTGTCTGCATTGTTGGATTTAAATGAAGTTATGTGATTTGACAGGTAAAGGCATGAGTCCTGAAAAAGGAATGGTGGTATATAAACTTTATGAAAATACTTTGCATCCGAATAATGGGAATAGAGCAATATTAAAAGCAGCACGACTTTTTTTTGATACTTAACCAGAGATATTCCTTCATTCTTGGTGCTCCCCTCAAAATCTGCTTTCTCTGCATTGTGATTACTGATAAATCAATAGCTAAGCTAACAAAGTAACCTCCATGTCAAAAGCATTCTGACATTGGGCATTGTAGCCCCTAATCTTCAAACTAAGTGTCTCAAGTGCAGTTTAAGAGGATAGTGGCATTAAACATGCCAGCCTTCTGTGGCCTGTTGGGTATTTACAATGTGAAATCATCAGGAAAATTACTTACTAACCAGTCTGGCAAAAATCCTCCTTACAGGAGCTTTTTCTGGCTTGTTGATTACTGAGCTAACTCTACTCGTCTCTCTATTTGCTATGGAAAAAGGAAGTAGCAAAAGAAGAACAGGTCAAAAGGAATTAAAAGTTCATCAGAAAGTTAAGACATAGGTTGAATTCTGTTCAACAGTAATTAAATAAAATTTGCAAAGGATTTCTCACAGTTGTTCACTATGAACAACATTGTAGCTGTGCTGTTAATATCACGTAGACTTGGTTATGTCAGCTATTAATGTAGATAAAACATCTTGGTTCTGCTGTAGATCTTTGCAGTATCCAGCCTTATAACAGGAAGTATTCCCCTTATCCTCCTTACCTTCTCCCAAAATAAAGCAGCAGAGATATCGGAGTAAACGTACAGACAGTACAGCCAGGTATTGTTAGAAAAGCCATTGCAGCTGTTGTCGGATCTTGCCCTTATCCTTGCCTAATATCACCCCTCAGAGCTGAAGACTTTCAGAAATTCAAACAGCACAAAGCATACATGATACAGTGAATTTTTCAGTGAGTAGTTCACTTCATCTATGGTTTATTAATTCAAGAACTTGTTTGGTGCAGGTGTCATTGGACAACCTAGCATTAGAGACCTCACTTAGGTGCAGGAGAACAAACATTTTCCAACTTACTATAGCAGCTGCTCGTCCAATCCCCTGTGCTGCTGCAGACACCAGTATGATTTTCCCATCAAGCCGACCCATACTGCTGACCTGTGCAGACAGATGTCACAGAATCTTTAACGAAAAGGTGAGCCAACAATACTCCCTGACAATCAGATGCAAATACGTTCCAAAAACTAGACATGATTCAGAGAACCTCTGCCACCAAATCGTATCACAGATTGTCCTGTTTGGCTGCAGTGTGACCCCAAGTCATCCAGAGTTCTGAGGGGGGGACTGCCTCAACCAGATCAAAAGGCATTTGAGTTCAAAAGCCAAGCTTTATTATAACAGAAACTGGACCTTATTTTTCCTTAAACAGAAAAAGTCAAGATGAAACAGGAGTATAATAATAGTTTATAATCTAGTGTTTCCATGATCCATTGTGTTGTTAGAAAGCAGGTCTGTCTTCTACTCTGCTTAAACTACAAACTCGACAACTTCCTAGGTTGCAATAAATTCCACACGATACCCTGGCCTCGGTGTCTGCTCTGAATTATCTTGGGAATCTTCCAGCACAGCAGATTCCCAGCTCCAACAAGGCAGGATGGTGAGGAGGAATGAAGCTCTGTCCTGTCTCACCTCCCTCGTATTGCTTCCTCTCAGGGAACTGAGCATGCTTGGGGCAAGCAGCAGGGAACCTCTAGGAGGCTGAGACTATATATAGAAATACCTTACTCAATGTGTAGTAGCCAGAAGACAAAATGTAGCCCTCCTCTTCTGCCCAAGCACACGCTTGCTAATGCTGCATTATGTTTAAAGAAACACAGCATGTAGTTGCAGACAAACAAGTAAAAGCAAATGCCATCCCCTCACTTCTATGGATTCAAAAGTTTCCATCAGGGTTTTCGGTTATTTAAGGAGTAAGATACTTAATAGGATGTTTTAAATAACTGCCTAAAAAGTAAGGTCATTGTGTTCCAGTCAGAGTGTGATATCTAGTGTTTGTTAACAGGGTTCCCAATAAGCAAAACTTTTTGCACTTACATAATCCACAGAGCAAAATTTGTTTGTGTAGCTATGAGCGTATAAAGACTTCAAGTTCACACCTTTCAATACGTACGATGAATCCAACATAGAGTACTTCTCAGTGAATTTTAAGATAAGGATGCTGTTATCTCCCCTAGGTTAGCAGCCAGTGCTAGGTCCTCAAATCCACGCTGTGACTCAGATTACTGAGTCAAATTTAGTGTCCTACATCTTAAACCACATTATCTGATTTTGACAAGAAATTCTGTTTTCCCAGCAGCTTTTCCTGACAAGTTGCAGCAAAACCATTTCCCTGAAAGTTAGAGGTTCCACAAATCTTTAATTTTTAACTGAAAAATTCTTTCCATTTTAATATGAAAAACATTATCTCCTTTGTTTTAAAATCAGAATTACAGACTATGTTTCAAGACACTGAAATGTTTCACTGTAGGTTTTTCCCCCCATAACTGGGACACACATGCACACACACACAAAGAAACAAAAGCACAAACCAACCAACCAGTCTCCTAAGCAAACAGTAACTGAGATGCACCTTCCTATTTAGGGGAAAGCACAATACCTTAAAATCACCATTTAGGTTGGCTAGTAAAAAGGCGTCTCTTTGGCTGCCTCTGATAGTAGGCTATATTAGGTTGTTGTATGAGATCGGGCCTGTTTTAGCATAACCTTTTTGGATTGACAGGTGAAAAATACGAAGTTAACTGAGCAAAATGAGATTACACACACAGCTAGGTTGCACTGCCTCTCCAATGTACCAAGCTTTCCAAAATGGAACTCCTCACACATAAAATTCTGAGAAAGGTTCTATTATAGCAAGTCCCGAGTATCTCAATGATCTCAAAGTGTTCACTCAAGGCAGATGAAGCTTTTTCTTATTCTTTGTCGTCACATGTTTTCAGCGGGAAAACACCTCGATCGGTCCAAGTACTTCCCCCAATCACCTTAACACTTTAGAAGCAAAATGCACTGTAAATACATTTTTCAATCTAACAATCAGTTTTTATGATCATTTGCCACATCAATTCTATGACGCATTTAAAAATAACTATTAATACAGTCACTCACCAAGAGATCTGAAACAGCTCGTTATGTGGACTGACCTTTGTACATGAGGAAGTGTTACACTTTTTTTGATGTGCTTGTTGGGATTTGTAGTCTAACTGGTAAGTGTCTCTATATAAATGTAATTTCCTGTTGAAACATTGAGAAGCTGCCATCTAGTGAAAGTCAAGGTTTTACAAGTGTGATTTTCTCCTGCACAGGAAAGGACAAAAAAAGGGTCACCAGCATTGCTGTCCATTCCCCCTAAGGAATTCAAGAAATCAACAGGATTCCCAGCAGAAAAGGCCACAAGCATGTTTTTCTAAAGCACACTCTTTTTAATAATATAAGCTATCAAATTCCAAATTAGAATGATACTTGCATGATAAATTTTGTTGGTGTGGTTGTTTGGTTTTTTTTTGTTTTGTTTTGTTTTTTTTAAACTGGTGATTTACCAACTTATCTTCATCCGGTGGTTTAACTTATGTTTGTGAAGGCAGAGTTAATATCAGACTAGAAAATTCTAGAACAAACCAATTTAGTTATAAGCTCACACCAGACGTAAAGCTACCCTGACAGTATTCTTAAAGAATGCGGAATCCTGACTGAACTTCAGTTGGGCACATTTTCCTCAGAAAACCCATTGTTTGGATAAACTGGGACACGCACACACAAATTTCAGTAATATTATTTTGTCTTTCTGCTAAACTATGATAGCTTTTTAAGACTTTGTAAATCAGCTTCCCAGTAAACAAAATCTTTAATGACTAGGTTTTCTAAAAGCATTTATTCTTCTGTCCCTAACACCTTTTGCTTACTGAATTCAGACAGACCTCTTGCAATAGGTTCCTGTTTTTCAACTGACACCAGAAGTCTTCAAATTTGAGTCTCCAGAAATGTTCCAAACAAGCAATAATCAACAAAACACCCTTGAAATTGTATATAAAAGAAGTACATGTATACATACCTTGTTTCCCCCTTCTGTAAGGAAAAAGTCAATTTAATTCATTTATTAGAACACCAAAATGGATGAGATAAAAAAAAAAGCTGATAGCCAAAGGAAATACTGTTCAACCATAGTGGGAAATTGCAAAAAAGAAAATTCACTCCACCAAAACCACAAAACAACCCCCCCAGCCAACCCAAAAACAAACAAAATAAAACAAAATAAAAAACCCCACCACACAAAAACCAGTGCTTTGCACTTACCACTGTCAGGAAATAAATTGCTCCTACATACCTACAGCTGTGGCAGGAAAGGAGACATTGCAGTGCTGAACTCCGTAATAGTATTTAGAAGCTGTGTATTTTTGGCTAGCAATATCTTTAAAAGCTTCCCAAAACAGAGCTTTCTTCCTATAAAACAAGGATGATGCATTCAATGCAGATATCCTTGTTAGGTATGACTTTCTCATCTCATAATGATGATTTAATTCTTAACAGAGATGATCTTAGGTTTTGAATGTCAATATTCTATCTAGTTAGCAGTGGAGGGTGTGTGGGCAGGATCTATTTTCTAGACTTCAAACGTTTCCTGACAAAGATTTAGTCAGAAAGAAGAATTAATCAAAACACCGGTGACAGACTTGAGCAACAGTAAATTTCTGCATAAAGCAATTATTGCAGAAAGTTAGAGGACAGGGACAAGAAGTACAATAATGATGGAAGTGGCAAGAATACTATAGACACTGAATATTACGCTATGATGCAAGGATGTTGATTACAAGTGAAGTGACCAGCAAAAATATTTTTAAACACTTAGCACATTAACTTTTATTGTTAAAACAAACCTTCTTACACAAAACATACAAAAAAAGTCTCAGTGCAGATAAGCAGGCTAGTAAGATAGCCCGTCTTGCAGCCCTGATTGTCCAGTTTATTTTCCATTCACTAGAGTAGCAGAAAAGCATCAAGTCCATTGCTTACTACTAAAAAAATCCAATACACAACTTCAGACAGGAACTAGAAGTATATTGAAAGATGATGCAAACTGCAGTTACTCTTGGCACCGTAATTGGTTGAGCTGCAGAAATACTGTAAGGAGTTTAAGAGGAACCCTCGACTGTGTGCCCTATAAACAGAAAATGGCTAACTTCAGTTACGATGTCCAGATAGAGAGGTTAAAATTGTGGTGAAAATGCAGTTTTCTGCAGACTTAGAGAAAGCATAGTATAAAACCCCATATGCTGAGAAACAAAAAGCATAGTTCTTTCCAACTCAACAGCACTCTGAACAAATATCGACCACCCAGAAGTGGACTTGTTTAGGAATGACAGAAAAGTTTAAGACTGAGAGGTTTCACAGTAGATTAGTTTGTGATCCATTCCTTTTTCCATTTTGTTCTTCAATACATTGGCTTTTCTTTCTTTGCCATCCAAAAAACCCCACCAAAGTGGAACATCATCAGATCAGCAGGTTGTGGACAACATGACTGCTTTTCCATTTTTGCTCTTGTATTCCAGGTTTTCCAGCTGTGGGAAAAGTAGCAACTCCAAGATTTGGAGGGATTTGCACACCACTGGAGCTCCAGATTCCGGCTGCAGCCACTGCAAAGGCAGCTATAAAAAAATAGAGCACCTTATTGGGTGGTACACTCAGGGGTTTTCTCTTTCTCTGAAGTTCCACACCGGTGCTTGAGATGTTCTCCTGTGGGCTCTATTCCTGTAAGTCGTGTATCTATACAGAAGACAAGAACATTAAAGTAACACTTAAACTCTCCCAGTTAGACAAGCAGTACGAATACAGCAATTTAATCTTGACTAGTGTTTTAAATGTCACCTATCCAAGCTTGCCTCTGAGAAGCTTTGTGTTGTGAGGAAGTCTGTACTATTACCAAGCTGGCCATCACAAGAAACAGCAATGAGTCATACTCTTTCAGAAGTCTGCCATTAATACCCTGAAAACCTGCTTAACTCTTTAACATGTCTGCTGGGGCCTTCTGAGAGTTTTTAGAAGCAAGTGTAACGAGGGCAGTAGCATTAATATGCTAGCATAGAGATCACTAGAAAACTTCCCCAAAAGGCACCAGACCAGATATAAGAAATACTGAGTAGGGCTGAGGAACAGAAGTCATCAAAACAGCTATTACTGCAGCTGGAGCCAGGCGGACAGACAGATTGAATGTCAAAGACTAAAGTCTTAATAAGGAAATTCAGAACAAAGTTAACCAGCAGTTAGCTTTGAATAGTTTCGCCAGAAGTTCATGCTTAACCAATGTAAAGTTAGAAAGCAAAACATTTCAGAGCATCAGCTATGTAATAATGATATCCTGCTAATTCACTTTTTAAAGTCAGTCCTCAACACTTCCACTGCAGCAAAAGTCTGTATAACCTTCAGGGGTGAAGGACTCCTTTAAGTATTTAGGTTCTGTAAAGCATATATAAGCTTCACAGCTCCAGCTGGTCAGCCCTTCAACAGTCAGTTGACTCACCAAGAAAACTGTGTTATCGTGCAAGTTTCAGGTCTGCATACAGAAAGTACAGAGCATTTACCCTCAAGTCAGACCACCCCTTATATTTGCCTCTCCAAATCTTTATAGGACAACACCAGTGCATTACGTACCTGTTAGTGTACCCAAGCTGGAATTATCAAAGAAATTTGTTGGACAAGTCAGTGGTCGAGGCTTTGATATATCCTGAGCCACAGCCTCCTGAGAAATAGGTTCCTTGGAGGGTGAAGGCGTTTGCTCTTTAAGGGAATATGACACTGTCTTCCTTGGAGACCTTGGTACTGTCTCTTGAGTGGTTTCTCTTGAGGATCGTTCTTTCCATTTTAGTGCTCTTTCTTTCCATTTTCTAAGTTCCTCTTTCAGTTGAAGCTCATTACTGAAAAGAAAAAACAACACCCCAGTATTTAATTACGAAAAATTTAAAGCAGTGCCTTTAAATAAGAAAAAAATCCTGACAGCAGACAGTTCCTGTATCTTCAGATGACATACAACAGACACAGCAATGCAAGACCATATCTGTGTATCTTGCTTTGAGGCACAACTTTATTTTTTAAGCTAAAATTCCTTCTAACATACAAGTATATTTAAATATATCTTCTAGTCTTTACAAGATTCTTATGGAAGCAAGCAATTTAAAGTTCAAAAGCTGTAAAGATATAAACAATAAATCATTAGCTTTAAATAAGTTTTTGATGTGGAAGAATCTAGAATGTCTAAAATTAAAAATAGTTACTCACTTCTATAGGTCTCCCAGAGAGAAATGCTAATGACATGCATAATTAAATAAAACAAATGATTTGACACGTTGCTGATCAGCTTTACACTTACCTTAGTAGAAGGTCATTTTGTTTCTTCAGGTGCAAGTTCTCTTTCTGCAGCTTAGCTTGTTCAGATTTTAGAACAAGTATTTGTGTGCTCTGCACAATACCACTGCCACCACCACAAGTCAGAGGTATTTGGGATTGCTGAGGAGCTTCTTTTTCCAGCACCACTAGAAAACAGTTTCATATGGATGCACGCATTATTTGGACAATGCTTAAAGCCAAGTCAATATATTTTTTAGCCTATTGCTTCCTATGGTCTTACATGCAAAACCTCACTAGGTTCCAAGTACCTTTACAACAGCTATTCTTTTTTATACACAAACACACCTCCCAGTATTCACACTGCCAGGGAGATATTAAGAAACATAAAAGATTCTTCACTGAGCCATTTAGAGTTAAAATAGTTATAGTTTCAGGTATGTCATAATTATGATTAGAACTAGCTATTCGTATGTGAAGTCAGCCAAGGAAAAAAATGGCAACATAAGCTGCTACAGCTGCAGCTTACACAAGTGCAAACACAAAGAACTGCTGTGATTCTAATGCAGCATATGTGCAGCTAACATTTTACTTTCCATTTCATCTTCCAAAGCCCCCAATCCTCCTCCCACCCTTTGAGGTAAAAGGCCTGCATCTCAATCTGGACTTTAACCATATAACCTTAAAACGGAATGTTTAACATGAAAGAGTCCCTTAGATTTATCTTGAATTTACCAGTAACATCTTGCTCTTGCTGTGCTCTTCTAAGTTCTTCTTTTAGCTTTCTTAACTGTTGTTCTTGGTGTTCTGCAAGAGC